CGAAAGAGTGTCTGTACCATTCCGATTCTCACTTTGCGTTAGCTTCAGCAGACTGAAGTAAATGACCAGTGGGTGTGTGGACTACAATGTCGAATGATTCCGTGTTCAGTACGGGATTTTTAGCCCTATTTATCTGAAGGATGCATTCAATAACTCGGTCTTTAGAAACCCAGTGGAAAATTTTTCTAGTTCTAGGTAGGACTGTCCGGACGAGTGTGATGTGAATACGAGTAATGAAAAGTCGTAGGGCCGGTAGCAGTTGTCCGTCGCGCTGCTTGAGTGAGAAATCCTGACAAGCTGGTCGATCGATTGACAAAACTAGGGCAGATATTGGGTCGCTTCCTGTGGCACCGGACAACCTAATCACCGCTCAAGCTCGAAAACGCTCACCTGTTAAGACACGACAATTCTGCATGCATTGGTTGTGCCAACATCGCCCCGCACATCCGATGTCCGGAGATCAGATTCAGTCACGACCAAGGATATGCAGTGCTCGTGATCTCCATTATGATTCCTGCTTTGCCGCTAGATCAACCAGAACCCCGCATTGACAAAAATAGGACCCCAAGCGACCATGTCCCAGAACGATTCCCTTGCTATGAGACAGTTGATTCGGTGTCAAAACAAGTCAGAGTAACGACCTCCATCATAAGATAAAACGAAGCCACGGATTCGACCTCAAAACACCGTCCAGCGTCTTGCACCACAATCCCAACCCGAAGCATGTAACTTTCAGTAGGGCGATCAATGATCAATCAATATATGCACACAAGACCTTTGTAAGCGCGATCAGTTTGCCCTAGTAGAAGATAAAGCGGCCTCATTGGCTCATTAACTGATTGATACCCCCGTTTTTCTTATTCCTATTTATACTATAATATGAATTGGATCGGTTTCCGTATGCATATATATATATATATATATATATATATATATATATATAAGAATCGTGTTATGTAATTTGTATTTACATATATATACATATATATGAATGTTAGCATCCAACCCAGGGGGTTT